ACACACACGAACACACACACACACACACACACACACACACACACACACACACACACACACACACACACACACAATTAAGGAAATTCAAGAGAGAAAGAGACTCGTATATATAAATATATACAGTAAGGAACATAACTGAACCAATAACTACAAGTTTTGTATAAATCATTATTTATTGCTAAGAAGATAGGAGAATATTAAAAAATAAACATTATAGTCATTTTTATAACAGCCAGAAGTAACACAAGAAATTTTTTCAATAATTAATGTCTCCTCGTTTAGCAATGACAATAAAAATACATTGACTCGGTTTTGCACCGGTCTAAAATGTTCTAGTAGTGTGTTTATATTTAGCAGTTTTGTATGTTTACAAAATGTTATTGCACGTCTTAGCACTCTCAGATTCTCGCAATCAGTCGAACGGAAAAGCACGCAAGTGAAGTAAGAATAAATATGAAGTCAAATTGCACCACATTGTTTAAAAAAAGTAATTCCTTTTTTGAATGACGGCGTGTCAACGCGCCGGACGGCGAGAAAGTGTAGTATTAGTCAATCGACAGTGTAGAGACTAAGAAAAAAATACTGTAAAAGTATATTATTAAATGTTGGAGGAAGACCAAAAAAATTAACATTGTAGGTTGAACAAAGAATTATACGGTTTGTCATATCTGGTGAAGCTTCAAGCGCCACTATAGCTGCAAAATTATTAAAAGAAGATACGAATATACAAATAAGCAAGTGGACAGTACAGAGAACCCTCAAAGGAGCTGAGATTAAAAGTTTCGAATGTTATCGAAGAAGAATATTAAACTTCGTTTGGAATTTTCCAAAAAATACCAAAACAGGACAACTATTAACGAGACCAAAATTAACAGAATTTGTTCAGATGGTATGTCTTGGTGCTGGAGTTGTAAAAATGAAAGGCTTAAACCACGACATGTAAAGCAAACGGTAAAGCATGGAGGCGGATCTCTAATGTTTAGGGGGTGCCTAACAGCATTTGATGTTGGATCACTGCACCGAATTAATGGCATCATGAATCAGTACATGTACAATATATTTTACAAGATCATCTCATAGAGGCTGTTGATAATATGCCTTTTGAAGAAGAAAATGTAATTTTCATGCATGACCGAGACTCTAAGCACACTGCTAAAAGTGTAAAAAAATTGGCTCAATACTAAAAAATTCTCTGTTCTGGATTAGCCTGCGCAAAGCTCGGACCTCAACTCTATAGAGAATTTATGGGATTTACTAAAAAGACGACTTTGGGATCCATATGACTCCCAACCAACTTCAATCAGATTTGTATAATAGAATTCAAGAACAGTGGGAACAAATATCTCCGGATTATTGCAGAAAATTAGTAGAAAGTATGCCAAAACGAATTAGTACAGTTTTACAAGCAAAAAAGGGTTGTGGACGAAATATTAAAAATAAAGAATATATTAAATATTGTCAAGTATTGGACGTGGTGCAAAACCGATTCAATTTATTGTTGTTGTCATTCCTAAACAACAAGACATTAATTATTGCAAAAATTTCTTATGTTACTCCTAACTGTGATGAAAATAACTATAATGTTTATTTTTCGTTATTCTTGTATATTCCTAGCAATAAATAATGATTTATACAAAACTTGTGGTTGTTGATTTAGTTATGCTCCTTACTGTATATACTAGATACAATTATTAAATGCGATTATCATCATCACGTGAAAGAGAACTACACGCCGAATACACCTTGTCGACGAACAGATTGTCTTATTGCGGAAACTACGTATTTGTTGTGTAAAGTGAATGTAATTGATTGGTTAACGGAAGCTTTTTCACCAATAAAAAAAAAAAGAAAAGAAGAAACGATCAGTTAAACATTTACGAAGTGTCCTTCTTCAAAAGCGTTTTGTGGTTTTTTAAATATATTAGAACGACAAAAAGGCAGGGGAAGGTCCGCACGAACATCCGAGGAGCTTCTTGTTTCTCTACTAAAAGATCTATTCATTGTTGTTTAATGCATAATGTTAGAGGTAACCGGCGCTACATACATTCGATCTCATTGATAGCGTTTGTTATGTACTATCTGATGACGTTCTTAGGTATAACAATTAAATTTAGAACATTGCAGAGTCTTTAGAGCAATATTTCTCTAATTTCCTCTCCTCGCGATCCCCTTTCGTATACGTAGAACTAATGTATTCTATCCGTGTACATTTCACTGTTTTTATAAGCGTCTATGCATTTTTAATTGCAACTCTTTGCGCTTCCTTTTGATCAAGCAATAGAAAAAATTCAAAACAGAAATTAACACTTTGCCGGCCGCACTGTTTTTAAACATTTCTTCGCTTGTCGCCGGCTGTTTTTGGGAGATGATAAATTTCAAGTTTTTCTAATCTCATCGGTAGTTCTCGCGAGTTATCAATCCGCCTCCCCTATTTTTATGAAAATTCGAAAATGTACATATGTAAATAAATGTAAAATCTTTTTGTTTTATATATTTCTTTAATTACATTTTCTTTGGTACTTACTTAGTATTTCTCTTTTAAATGATACGAAGCAAAACAATCTCCAAGATGTAATGCAACTCCGCACGACTTGCACATCAAATTTGTTGGTTTTCTTTTCTGTTTTTTGGTACACACATGGCACATTCTTCGTTTTCGTTTAGTGGTTTCGGAAATGAGTACTAGCTGGTGTTGCCTCAGGTCACAGGAAAGTCTGTCGATCGCTTTATGATGGAACGCTCGCGGTATAGTAACGACCTCCAAGTTTTGCTCGGGAACAGTTACTTGATCTTTTATCCAGGATTCAGATACTTCCAATAGAAAATCATGAAATCGGAGACTTTTGTGTTCTGTATGGAAATGTTGAAATGTCCTGAATGCATTAAACAATGCGCAATTGAACAGGTACATGCAAACCTTTTTTGACCATTTTATCGTTTTTCTGTATATGGGATAGTAACTCAGATATTGGTCTGCTCGATCCACTCCCTTCATGTATTTATTGTAGTCTAATATGCTTTCAGGTATTTTTATTGGGCAATTGGTTTTCCTGCATTTTTTTTAGTATCAATCAAAGTGGCATTATGTATTGTAGAGACCGTCCGTATCATTTTGATATTCGAAGCTCTCCATAACTGTGCCAGTACATCACCTTCTCGTCGATGGCAGGCTTCAAACACATCGAGTTTTGCGCTGTTTAATTTTTCTGAAAATCCTCTATTTTTCCGTATCGTTCCACAAACTCGAACTTTCTTTTGAAGTAAAATTTTTGCAAGTTCTACGCTGTTGTAGTAGTTGGCCATGTACAGGTGATGCCACTTTCCATAAGAAGATTTCAATAGTTCCATCACCGTTTTCGCTAAAGGCTGTCCAGCGCCGGAATATATTTGAAATGAGGAAATATATCCCGTATTGGAATCACATAACATCCGAATAAGTATGTCATATTTTGTAATTGTTGATGGGTTGTAAACTTTAAAATTCAGTCGTCCACGCCATGGTATCATTCCTTCGT